CTCTCTTTGAAGGTGAAGAATCTTCTGTGAGTCACGTCTAATCAGATTTACCACATTTTGTCACATGTTTTTCTCCAGGTGTTAGTAGGAGTGGTAACAGCCTATGCTAGAGCTCACTCATAATGCCGGTTCAGGTTTGATGCTTGGCTATCCGGTTGGGGTGTGCATGGCCCTTCTTTTGATCAATACTGGTTCAATACATTGTTCATGGAAGAGGGTGCACTGTCCCCTCGTAATTCAGAATGCAGAATGGTCCCATTGTGGATCCTTGGTTGAGCACAGTTGTTCCACATCCTCCCTATAATTACCAGGGTAAGTGGGATGTCCCTTACTCACACAGTTAAGGAGTGAGGAGAAGTGTTTATAATTCCAGACCGGATGAATTCTGTTTCCTCAGGTTGAGTTAGGCATACATGAACCCATCATTCTGAGCCTGGGGGTGTTGCCTTTTGGTCTTCTTCAGGTGGAGGAGAAAGTTTGTCCACTTCAGTGTTGCTTACCTTCATGTTGTGATTCCACTGGCTCAGAATGCATCACTCTGTGGCTATAGGTTGGGATCCACTAATAGTATATATACACACACACACACACACACACACACACACACACACACAAATATATAACGTTTGTGGTCCAATTGCTCTAGCCACCAATGTGGGATATAGGGACTGTGATTCCTTGATTCCAATCCAGAGTAGTGGAACCTCAGCTATCTGGTAGTGGCATGGCCTATAGTCAGGGGCATCGAGAGCCAGCCTATAACCCATGGTCAGCAATATCAACAGGGCCACTTTCACTTTATTTATTAACTTTTGCCAATTTTTCATAAAAGAAATTTAGGGGACCAATTTCTTCATAAATCCATGAAAAAGCAGTAGCCATTTTACCTCATTAAGCAGTATGCAAACTCTGGGCCCTGGCACAGCTGCCCCCTTGCCCCTCCCCCCTACTCTCATCAGCCCTGCCTATAGAGATGATAACTCATGCCATGGAGGTATTATAATGTGATGGTCAATCCCACTATTCATTGGTAAATGAGTAGCCCAAGAGTTGGCAGTGGGTGGTGATGACTAACTGCCTTCCCTCTAGTCTATCACTGCTAAATTAGGGATGGCTAGAGCAGATAGCCCTTGTGTAGCTTTGCACAAAATTAAAAACAATCTAAACTAAAGCTGACTAGGGTGCCAATTTTCTGTTGATACATCCATGATCTATGTAGTTGCTTTCTGTATGGATAATGCCCTCACTGGCCCCTTCACTTTATCAATGTGGGATTCTAGCTTTAAGTGGGAATGGAGGTAACTATGATTTGGAAGTTAACATTTTTCTAAAATGAAAATGTTTTTCCAATAATACTTATCTCTACTCACACTCTCCCACCCTTCCTCCCCACTAAGAGCTCATGTTAGAGACTGAGATTGAGTCAGTCTTAAAAAAGTGATTATCTGAATGAGGTGCTTATATACAGTACCAGGATAGAGAACACATTAATGTAGGTGGAGAGTGTCACAAGATAAATATTACCAAGGGCATTAAAGTGGGGTATAAAAGACTGAAGCAATTGAGAAAAAGTCAGACCAATGCTTAGATGGGCAACAGAAAAAAAACACTGGCAGTCAAGTAATAGCTATAAGTGTGAAAGGAGGTAAGTATTATTGAAAATACATTTTCAATTTAGGAAAATATTAACGTTTATAACTCGGATAAAGGAGAGGTACCTCAGTTTTTACTAAATAAGGTACTGCAAAAGTTGTAGAGGTATAGAAAAGTAGATTTGTTTCTTCTGTATTTTACATAAGCTAAAAACAGCATAATTCCAGTGTAAATGATGTTGTCATTACCCCTTTAAGTTAGCTTTCTTACAAGTATCTGATGTTCCTTTAAAAAGCTTAAGTACAGGGTGAAAAGGCTGCTTTTCTACTGGTAAAATTGTATACCAGTTTAGTGGAGGTTGTGTCATAATCTTGACATATATTTGCCCATTGCTATGCATTATGTATAGAGAATTTAGTTACACAAAAAGTATAAATGCTCACTATATTCTGAAACAAATCTCAATGACAATCTCCAGCTGCAGCTTTACATTTTACATATCAAACTAATGTGATCAAGTAGTCAATAGTTACAGTAAATCATCATGTATATATCATAACTACTGTAAATCATCTAAAACTGTATCAGCTAGCTAAATGCATTAAGTTAGCTATCCTTTGCCCATAGTTGAGCATAAATAAAGCCAGCAAAGAAGATAAATAAGAAATTGGGAATTTCAAAACCTCCAAATAGGGAGCATAACAAGTATGCAAACAAAGCTAGAGATACTATAGCCATTATTTATTCAAACTACAAACCCCTATTTTGGCTCCATGCTGGTACCTAGAATTACATTTGGTGGAGTCAAAATAGAGGTTTGTAGTTTGAGTAAATAATGTCTACAGTGTTCTCAGCCTTGTTTGCTTACTGTTTTATGATCCCTATTTGCAGGCTTTGAAATCCTTAATTTTTTTATTTATCTTGTTTATTTCAAAGCACAAAGTTTTCCTTGAACTGTTGGAACAACCTTAATTTTCTAGTTTAACATAGACTTTAATAAACAGTCATAATTCTCCTGTGTAACAAACACTTAATAAACAGCCTTAATTCTCTAGTTTAAGAAACACTTTGAATGAACAACATTGAGTCTCTAGTGTAACAAATACTTTTAATAAGCAACCTTAATTCTGTAGTTCAACGAACACTTTGAATAAACAGTCTTAAGTCCCTAGTGTAACAAATACTTTTAATAAGCAACCTTAACTCTCTAGTTTAACAAAGACTTTTATTAAACAACCTAAATTCTGTTCTTCAATAAACACTTTGAATACACAACCTTAGTTCTGTAGTTCAACAAACACTTTTAATAAACAGCTTTAATTCTGTAGTTCAACAAACATTTTGAATAAACAGTCTTAATTCTCTAGTTTAAGAAACACATTGAATAAACAACCTTGAGTCTCTTGTGTAACAAATACTTTTAATAAGCAACCTTAAGTCTCTAGTGTAACAAATACTTTTAATAAGCAACCTTAAGTCTCTGGTTTAACAAAGACTTTTATTAAACAACCTAAATTATATTCTTCAATAAACACTTTGAATAAATAACCTTAATTCTGTAGTTCAACAAACACTTTTAATAAACAACCTTAATTCTCTAGTTCAACAAATATTTCTATAGTAATTGTTCAAAGAGAATGCATCAAATGTAGCATTTTAATGAGTTTTGAATAAACTTCATCTTGGCCTTAGTGTTAAATCATGTTTAAAATACTACTAACCCCCATGAAAGTTAAACCATGAAAAGACACATGAAGTTTGTTTGAAATATCTAAATGTTTCTGTTTTAGTGGAATAATTAATACATGTTTCTGTATCCTTAACTTTTTGAAACAACCACACTAACACGTTGTTGCCTCAAAGTTTACATCTAATGTATTTTTTGTACGTGAGAATGTAGCAAAAGTTTTAGCTGATATTATGAGTTTGTATATATGCCATCTTTATGTAGTCTTAATGAACTTGCTATGATTTTTTGTATATGCCACATCTGTAGGCATATTATGTTTCCACAGTATTTGGTTAATAGTTTGTTTTATGTCTTTTGGTCATATTGTGGTATAGTCAGGTAAAACTGATTTCCCCCAAGAGTGAAAATGATAGGTCTGCAAAATAACTGGATATTTGACCAGTACATTTATTAAAAATGAATTCTGAGTTCTCTGAACATGACTGAATTTGTGAAAGAAAGAGATTGGACATGAATGATTAAGTACAAAATGGTCTTTTGTTTATTAACACTAACGACAGTGTGATTATTTATTTTGTATGACAGACAGTTGCCTTTTCTGAAGAGCTAAAATCTGTAAATCTCTGTAAAATATGTCCCAGACAGAGAAAACATAGTGTTATATAAACAAGACCAGAATGTTATACTTCCCAGGGCAACTTGTGCCACCCACGTGATTGTTGGTCAATGCTTATTAATCATAAGGAAGGTCCTAGTCTCTAGGCATCACTTGACCTGCCAGTGGAAAAAATACTGATGTCTACTTTCACAACTTTGCAGAAACCTTTCCCATGGGAAGATTGCATATACACCTGAATAAATGAACAGTTTTAAAAATTTCTATATTAAAACATGGTGATAGCAAACACATGGTTTGCCTGCATATCACAATTTTATGTATGGTGATAAAGCTAGTTTTCTTATATGCTAAGTTTGATGTTGTGTAAATAAACATAATTTTTAATTCTCTATTTGCATTTAATTAAACTGGTACATTTCTCTTTAATGATCTGTGTTTTAACTGAAAGTATATATTTTAGGATTTATGTGTTTTCACTGAATGACAACTGAACTTACTTTCAGCTAAGCTTTTTTTTTACTTTTTAAATTAACTTGTGTATTTTTTAGTTTTAGTTTTATGATTATTGTACAATTGAGCTATTGTTATAATAAATCTAGTCTGCATCATCCTTCAAAATAAACATGTTCTTCACTATATCTGTAGTTCTACTTTCTGTTATGAAGCAGGAGCACCATTTCAGATGGTGAAACTTTCATTGGAGGTTCAGTGGAGTTAGGCCCTGAATGATCTTACTTTTTGTAAAAGAATAAAAGGTAAAAGTCCTTTATGGAGTTATACTTGGAGAACTTCAACTCTCGGTGTGGTCAGGTGTAGACTGATGTATGTCATGTGGGTTTAATTGCGTTCCTTATTGTTGTAAGAACCTTTATAATATTCTCTATGACATAATGAAGAGGGGTCCTTCTGTTCTAAACACCCTTGTTGTGACCATACCACATATTTTTATGGATTTAAACATTTACTTCTGGAATATGAGTTTAGTGATTATTAATGCTTCCTGAAGGTTTGGGCCACATATATATATACATATATATATTATAGATAAATAAATTACACAGAATTCTGTTTTTAATAAAAAGGAATTGTTTCTTCTAGGAAATGAAATTTCTTCTTCTTGAACAAAAGTATCTAGAGCATTTAGAAAATGGCCATGTACTAGAAGCATTGCAGTGTCTGCGAGGTGAAATTACTCCATTAAAACACAACACTAACCGTGTCCACGAGCTTAGCAGGTATGCTGCACTATATGTTGTAGATGGAATTTGCAAGTTACCTTAGTTGTAGATTTCCTCTGTATTGATTTATGACATTATGTACTTTTTGGACAATTTGTGAGATAGAATATACTCCATTTATTAATTGGTTATTTTTAGTTTGGATCCGTATAATTGTATTACTTTTGATCAATAATGGCAGTAGAATTACTAGACGTGGATTTAGAAATTGTATCTGCTATTAATATTTCAGTTATATTCATTTTTCATTTAATAGTTCTCTCTTACGTTTAATTCTGTGTTACTTATAACCAATAGAAAGCCAAGGTTTTCATCTATCAAATGACATATTATATTACATTGTTTTCTGAACAGAGAATTGTCAATTTGTCTTTTAGTACATGCTTTGTTCCCACGGAAAACATATCAACTAGCTTGAATGAATTGGTAACAGATCTTGCTGCATAGTTAGAAATCCAGAAAAGTTGTGATCATTGTGGGACATTTTCTGTTTTTTCCATGTTATTATTCTGTATTCTTTGGTGCATTATTTAATTAAATGAAAATTATTTAGTGCATTACTACCATTAGTATTAAAAAAAAAGTAGGGTTAAGTGTCATCGACAGTGAACAGCAAAAAAAAGAAGGTCCAAGTAAGTACTTTATATCTTATTTTTCATATGTATTCTTTATTTATTATTATAAAAGTAGCTAAAATGTAAAAATAGGAATCTTTTTTAGGTTAATTAAAGTTAGATAAGGTAAAATAAATAATAATAATATAATAAAAATGTTTCACGAGGCATGCATGCGAGCAGCTCGGAATAGCTCATGGGTAATGTAATTCAATACCGTAACATGAGCTCCACGTGCCCCAAGTGATTTACAACTTATGATGACATGAATAGTAGTTAGACATGGTCCAAAGGGCAATAAAATACAAAAACTTAAATTTAAAGGTACTTAGGATAAATGAATATAGTTTCATGTTACAATTTGAAGTCATTATAGAAAAATATTGCTACATATAGTGATTCAAACAGAGTGGCCTTACATACACCTACTTCTGTCTATGACGGGAATAACAAATCAAAAGCTCAGGATGTCCCTCTGTTGGTTTTCTCAGTCTCTAGAAGATGGGAACTTCCTAGATTATTTCTGTCTTGAATCGTTGAAGGATGTGGTAATTGAAAATGTTGTTCAAAAAACAATATTTTTTTACTCAAATACAGTTTATTTAGTAATCCTAATAAATTACAGTGGAATTCTGCAATATTGATAGAGTAATTTATAATATTTGGTTATTTCAAAAGGAATATATAAAACCTTATTTTGTTTTACATTCTCCATGTGCTTAGCAAATTATGGCAAGTGGGCAAATGAGTACAAAGTTTATAAGTAGAAAAAAAATCATTGTTTTCTTTATTTCTTTATTTACGCTTCTATGTTTTAAGAAAAATAACTGAAATTTAAGAACTTAGTTTGTAAATAATATATATATGCATATGTAATATATTATAATTGAAATGTGACTGTATTTTACAAAATACTGGTTCATTAGAATAAACTGATGACACAGGTCACTTTGTAAAGGCCAGTTTTATACAACTGGATATAGTAACATGACTGCACATGTGCCGCATTATTGCAATTTCTGTAATGTTAGTTAGACATGGCTGAAAGATCAACAAAATAAATAAAAAATTACATATAGATGTATAATGTTATGAGATTTAAACTATTTAGACTAAACATTTATGGTTTCTTGCTATAATTTATAGTCATTCTAAAACGAAAAAAGTGTAATTTATATCTGATGAAACTTAGTTGAATGGACGGCAACTGCCTCTTGTAGAAACACAAGTGTAGAGGACAACGTTTCAAAAGTCTTCTTTTTTTTTGTCTTCAGGTCAGTGTGTGTGTGTAGTCTGTTTTTATAGTATTCTGGTGGATTGTGGAGAGCGTGTTATGATTGGTTGGTTTATCCCTGTTTCTGATTGGTGAAGAGACTTCCTGTGGTATCAACCAATGGTAGCCACAGGTTATTCACTTCTGATCTGGAATCTCTGTTTGGTGAAAGTTTTACTGTGTTAATGTAAAATGATTCTTTAATTTTTGTATTCCAAAATTTTTCTGTGTCGATGATTCTAGTTTTTTCCCAGTCATCCTTGTGTTTCTACAACAGGCAGTTGCCATTCATTCAACTAAGTTTCATCATGAATACTCTGCTTAAACAATCTATCAAAGAGTAATTTATATCTAAATTTTATGTTGGTTACAAAGTCAATCAAATTGACCTAACTCATACAGAGATACAGTAGTGAAAATGACAGATAAAACATGAAGTTTTTCTAAAAAAAGTTTGATAATTATCTGGAGGTTATTAAGAGGTTATAAAGATTTCGCATGTGATATTTAACTATTTTCTGATGCATAAAAGTATTTTTAATATTAAAATAAAATTATTTTGCATGTTGGATAGTCAACATTCGAAAAGAAAAAATGCATTAAATCATTACTTAAAAAATCTTAAACTTAATAAAAAAAATTGATATTTTGTGTACTAAAGCCTTGTAATGTTTCCTCATAATCTGCAAAATTTCATAAAGATACGCTTCATGTATTAAAAGTTATAGTTTGTAAACTATGATTTTTTTTTTTTATCTTGCCTTATAAAATTAAGATCTTAAACTTATATACTATTAACATATGGATTATTAGCAACAAATCTATGCCATTGTAATTGGTATAACATAAACAAAATGTAGTTTAATAAATTTTTGAATGTAAGTCACTAAATACCTCGTGACATGCATAGTAAAGGATGCCTGTGCAGATAGGGTTAATCTATCTGGCTGAGTATCTATTCCTTAAAATTCAACTGCGGAATGTTTTTAGTGAGGCTGATAAAATTCAATCCCATAAATCACAAAATATTTATATTAATTTATTAAGTAATTTTGTGTATATATATACAC